ATAAGAAATAAAAATTAACAATACTTTTATAGCATTTATTATCTTGGTTAATGGTATTATCTACATACAGCCTGCTATTTTAACATTTAAAGCTATATACATTAATATCATTAATTTAATAATAATAATAATAATTGTTGTTGTTTTACATTTATAGCATATTTTAAAAATGATATTAACCATCTGAACCCTTTTTGTAAAGTGTTACCATTTTTCTTTTGGTAAGTTATGTAATGAGCAGGTTTTCTAATGACATGTATAAGGTGCAAAACACCTGTATTAATTAATTAATTAATTAATTTTGGGCACATTTTATGTATTGTATCCACTCTGGCCTTCTTTAGATTTGGGGGGGGGGGACAAGCTTTATTGCTAATAGTAATAATAACCCCCCAAGGACGGCTCTGGCAGCGAATACAACAATCCGAAAGTTTCGCATACAACTGAATTTAGGTCATTTGTTTTATACTTTATTACTGACTTTGTACTTGTCATTTTTTGTGAATTCAATTCAGATTGAAATCAAATTTGAAATCAAGCTTCCTGCTGTAAGCTTTTGCAACAAAGTTACCCTATTTTAAAGACACAAATTCACAGAATGAGCAAATGTTTAAGATTGAGATTTTTGTAATGGTATTTGTCCCCCTTGGTCCGTTCAAGCGCGGGACCCAGTGCGCCCGCACCAGTTGCACCCCCCTAAGGATGGCCCTGAGTGCTGCTATCTATGAGGGGCATGTTCAGTGAGAGAGCAAACAGAGCACAACACTAGGCTAGGCACTGTCACTCTTATCAGGCGCTCTGGTCTAACACAATCAAAGACATGTATTCAAGATTCCTCTTCAGTCAAGGGTAAATAAATGTCATCACTCACAGCCACAAAGTATGAAAACCCTGTAAACAGTCTGTGGGATTTTCTGCACTTGAGCACACATCATTCCTATTACGTACACATGCGTTCTCCTTCCATTCCCCGTGAGTTCCTCCGCGCTGTGGGGAATTGTGAACTTGCGAGAGACTCGCTGTAAAACATTAAAAACCCAACCACAGCCCTAAATTCCAGAAGATGTTTGCTAACCCCATGCCTGTGTCTAAGAGGACTGTGGGGGCTCAGGGGGATGTGATGAATGGGCCGAAAGAGTATGATGAATGTGGCTGCCGGGGTCTGTGTGTGTGTGTGAGGACGGCCGTCAGGGTTTGGGTATACGCATGAAGGTTAAGATGAAGCAGAGAGGAGAATCTCAAACTGAACTGTGAGGGGAAAACGAGAGAATGTAGCTGAGTGATGGAAAAAGAGGAGGATAGAGGAGAGACAAGCGTGTGAGAAGACAAAGAAGTGGAGAAACAGTCCTAGAGGAAAATACCTTGTAATTTTAATTTAGGATGGCAATCAATTCAAATTTTTGATTGAATTAATATGCTGAATAATTAATTTAATTAATCAGGGTTAATCACATGCAAAAAAAAAAGACCTCAAAATTAAGATACATTCATATATCATTGTGGCAGATGAGTACATTTTTGAACAAAAAATGTAAATACTGTTGCTCTGTGCAAACATGATAGAATGGCTTCTTCTCCCATGAAATATTAATTTTTCACAATACAGTCAATTCCCAAATTGTAAAATCAAGTCTTATCCTTTTTTCTTACAATATACTGTTTAACTCGGACATTTTGTCAGATTAATATGTGTTGCAAATACCAGGCTGGTGTTTTATTAGAACATTTGTCAAATATTTTATTGAAGTTATCCTGTTTATAGTGACTGTGTGCTATATGTAGAGATGTTTTACTGTAGTTTAATCTATAATATATGATCTTTTATTCACACTGAAAACTAGAGTAATGGCTACTAAAAATCAGCTTTGCCATCACAGAAATAAATTACATTAAAAAAATATTCAAATAAAACCAGTTCTTTTAAATTGTAATAATATTTCAAATGTTTTAATATGTGTCCATTTTTCACAATGTTTTTACTGTATTTTAAATCAAATAAATGCTTGGTGAACAAGAGACTTCTTTCAAAACCATGAATAAATCTTAATGAGCCCAAACCTTTAATCAGTAATGTATAGTATGTGTAATATGATAGAAAACCATATTGAGTGCCCTGAACAGTTTAGGAAGGGGATTTGGGTTACACAGCTGCTCTTTTTGTGAAATCCCTGCTAGTTATTCTTGGTCACAACCTCTATTTTCTGTTACTGTCCAGATGAGGTAAAAACTGCTGGGTTTTGTCTGCTTTATAGCCCCAGTTAACCTCTCTAACATTACTGTACTCTCCACTTATGAACTTTTATATGCAATACACATTCTGTTAGCCTGTTCATGTTCCTGTTATATAAACCTTCCAGTTATATCTGTCTTTTCTCATTCTGCAACCTCAACTTTGTTTTATTAGGCCTTTATATTTTATTGAATATTTTATTATGTATACTCTATTCCAGAATATTCTGTAATCTTGGATCTATTATTGTAGCTTAGTTTCCAACCGTTCACTCACACATATCACAGGAGGCTTCAAATGATGTTCCTGTAGGGTTGGCTGCTGCTGCTGCTGCTCGTTTGGCAGGAAGTCACAGTTCTTCATGTAGCGTGGCAGGAGGGTGCTTTTCAAGCTTGTTATAAGTTGGCATGCAATAATAAATTCACCAGTACTGCAGAACATCTTTGAGGGGTCGCCCTAAGATGCATGCTTCTAAGTTATATAGACAGCAGCAGCTAGGTCAACAGGGGTGGGTTTGTCTTACGTAAACCCAGCAGATTTGGCACGTCACACTGGTAAGCACATGGAAAATGAAGCTGGAAGCTTTCTCTTTCCTTCTGTATATGCAAACCATCAGTCAAACTTTTGGACACACCTACTGATGTTTTATTATGGCTATTTTCCACATTTTAGACTAATAGTAAAGTCATTAAAACTATGAACAAACACAAATGGAAGTACGGGAATGCTGTGACCAGATTTACTAATTTTGCTTTTAAACATCATTTACTAAATAAAGGTTAAAAAAAATACAAGGCCTAAATAACATCTCTGATATCGCATTTTTTATTTATTTATTATTGATAAAGAACAAAACACAAACCAGACATCCATATTACATTTTTATTTATTATTTATTTATTTAGTCATTTATTAGACAGATAGATAGATAGATAGATAGATAGATAGATAGATAGATAGATAGATAGATAGATAGATAGATAGATAGATAGATAGATAGATAGAACTGGAGAAAACTAGCCATGTTTACAGTTTTCACAGATGGGCTTTAAACACTGTCAGGTTAAGTGAGATGAATGACTAAGTTCCTCTTTTGCTCCACATGGGAAAAGCACCAGCAGTGCAGAAATGCTCAAAGTTTGTCACTTCCCACCCAGCCACTGGAGAAAGCTATTTGATCATAGTTATCCCTTCAACAGGTCCACAGCGTTCACAGAACTTTTCTCTATCTCGCGTGATCTTACAGGTATGAAACACTGCCGCTGTGTGGTTAAACGCATTTTCGTAAATGCAGGTTATGGAAATGCCTAATGGCGCTTCTGAGCCGCCGTAACAGTACAGGAGCGACAACTTGTGCTAAACAAATGAGAATTTGTGCTAATAGTTTAAAATTCTATTCTTCAGTATTCTTTTCGCATATCATTTTTCTTCAATTACCGCCATTAAAGAATACTACAAAAAAACAACCCCAAACTTATCATTGATTTTTAGCTAAATTAATTTTATGCTCATTTTTGAAGAACAAAGTGGTTTATAATTCACGAACGTACATTTATTAGAAAGCACAAAGGCTTTTGACTAATAAATATATAGGCTTTATGTTTACAAATGTACCCTATTCGAAGAACAACATAGGCTACAGACCAAAGCCATTCATAGTACGAAAAATCATAGTTTAAGATATTTTATTATTATTATTATGTTCATTATTATATTCACGAAATAAAAAGTGAAATAAAAGACCAAATTAATTAAATGACAGTTAAAATGAATTTCAGATTAATTCTACTGTTTACCAAATAAAATATTAGATTTTTTTATTATTAATATATATGAGCTACTAAATAAACAAAGCAAACTTGTGCAAATAAATAAAAATTAAACATTGTTTAGATTTACTAATTTTGCTTTTAAACATCATTTACTAAATAAAGGTTAAAAAAAATACAAGGCCTAAATAACATCTCTGATATCGCATTTTTTATTTATTTATTATTGATAAAGAACAAAACACAAACCAGACATCCATATTACATTTTTATTTATTATTTATTTATTTAGTCATTTATTAGACGCTTTTATCCAAAGCGACTTACAAATGAGGACAACAGAAGCAATCAATTGTAGTATTAAAACAACTAAAAGCAGATCCCAAACTAAAAGCTGAAACTGTATAAATACTACTTATACACATTTTAAAAATAAAGAAATTAAATAAAAATGACAAATGCATACAACAAAATTTCAAAACTTAACATTTAAATGAAAAACAAAAGATAAAGCTAAAAACAATTCAAAATATTAAAGAACAAACGGTATAAGAGTATAATAATGATTCTAACATAACACTAAGCCAAACACACACAAAAACAACTACATGTGTGTATGTACAACCACACACACACACACACACACACACACACACACATATATATATATAATATATACATACACATTTATAAATTCAAAATATATATTATTTCATTTCCATTTAGTTTGTTGAAGTATTAAAATAACTCAAATTAAATAAAAATAAAACTTAATAAAAGACCTATACAGACATAATAAATGCAGACATAATTTATACATAATAACGAAATGTATAGTTCAAAAATAATAATTATTTTTATTATTATACTATCATGATATCCTGATACAGTATAAAAATAAAAGAAAAAGATAATAGTACATTTTCGACAAAAATAATAACGTCACTGATTTTTGCCTATTCATTGTCCAAAGCGGAAGTTTCATTGTGAGGTCACGTTTACGTGTTCCACCTCACGGAAGTCACAGAGATGATCCATTAGCGCCCTAAAACCAAGCGTTGTCGGTCTTGTAATGTTGCGGTACTCCACAGGATACAGACTCAGGACTGTCTCGGTCTAAAAGAGAGCCGGTGTTGTCCGGAAACTCTCGAAACCGGAGGCGCTGAGTTGGTGGGCGAGCCTGTCTGCCGTTTTGCAGGCTAGCTCGCTAGTCAAGTAGCCGTCCAGCTGCCTTGGCGACGAGCTGAGTAACTAATCTAAAGACAGCCGTCGAGGCGGCTTGCAGTTATTTCCTTTTACGGTCGCCTTGTAGTGCGTAGCCATGGCAACTCGGCGACTGACCGATGCCTTCTTATTAATGCGGAACAATGCAATCCAAAACCGGCAGATTTTGGCTGAGCAAGTGAGTACATACGACCCCCGTCGTACTCTGAGTACACGTAGCAATGCTGCGGTGAGTCTAACGATCATTGTCTGAATTGATTGTTTTCGCGTGTGTGTGATTCTGAGCTAGCTAGACAACAGCCCTAGCTAGTGGTGTTTGTTTGATGTCGACCGGCAAACCTCCGCTGTTTTGTTTGCCGTGTGAGGAGCTGGCAGGTCTGTGCAAACGCTTTCCGTACAGTTGCATTTGGATTTACCTCAACGTACGAGAATGGCAATGAAATTACTAAAAGATGGTGATTGTCGTGCTAGTTTTGCGGACGTTTAACGTTAGATCCCCGGTTTAGCTGTTGGGGACGCCAGGGTCCCTAAAATATGATGGCCCCCTTTCTGAAATATAAAGGCAGCTGTATATTTTAGTGTGTGGAGATCCATATATACTGTGTGTGGAACAAAATTAAGCATTATGTTATAAGAGAAGTTAATTGGCTTTTGTATTGTCATTGTGGCCTAAATAAATGCTGAAAATATGAACTGTCTTTTGTTTGCTAACTTCTAGAAGAGCTGATAGATGTATACATCTGAAGAGAAACAATCACATTTTTGCAGTTGTTTTATTTCAGATATGAATATCAGTATAATAAAACAAAGATGGTGATTAGTGACTAGTATTTAGAAGGGAAAAAAAAGACAGTAATGTCAAAATAAGTTGAAACTACCGTTTGGCTGTTTAGGGTTGGTAAGGGTTTTTCTTCTTCTTCTTTTAAGTGTCTTATGTGCACCAAGGCTGCATTTATTTGATAAAAAAATACAGTAAAACGGAAATGTTGTGAAATATTATTACAATTTCAAATATATTTTGTATTACTCCAGTGTCTCATGATCCTTCAGTAAAAAAAACGTTATTTATTTTAACATTTTAATGTGCTGATTTGCTGCTCAAGAAACATTTTGTAAATATTATCTTAATGTTTTTGTGGAAACGGTGATTTTGCAGGATTCTTTGAATGGAGAGTTCAAAAGAACAACATTTATTTGAAATAGAAATATTTCGTATCAAAGTCTTTTCTGTCACTTTTGATCATTTTAATGTATAGTTGCTTAATAAACGTATTCTTTTCTTTTTCAGAAATTATTCTGACCCTAGACTTTTGAACGGTAGTGTAGGTTAGCTTTTTTTTCCTGAAAATTTGATGATACAAAAATAGTTTTAATGAAATATTTATACATTCTGGATATTTTGAATCTGTTCACTAAGTTTGTTAGTTGAAGTTGCAAAATATAATGTAATTAACAAATCATTTTAAAATCATAATTTATGCCTTTATGTATCACTTTCCATTAAATGGCTCTAAGCTGTTATAATACCTTATTTGTATGCATTTACAAACATAATAACTGTAGTGTGGCGTTTTATTGCTAAATTTCTGAAATATTTTTGTGCTCAATATATATACTTTGCTCTAGTTTTGTTTTTATATTCGAAAATGAGACTCCAGAGGAAGGCAGTATGTTTTGTCTCCCAGTCTTCCATAGATCTTTCCTACAGATAAGCTATGCATCACATTTTTCTTTCTCTTTGATGCTGAATATTTTGATGCCTGCTATCCAGCATGCTTTTAAATAATCTAATATCTTTATAGGGTATTGACTGGGTCCTGACAGACAGATTTTGTAATGCAGTATTTGAAGCTGTGAAAAGTAACTAAAAGTTACAAGCACGGACACCATTCTGATCATATATCAATCATGCCTGCTTGTGTTTTGTCTGGTGTAGTGGCTCCATTCCTTACCATCTGCTTGCATGTTGATTTTTGCCTGTTTGCACTTCAGTGAGTACTACTTGATCTGCCTTGCAAAATCCTGACAGAATCTTCTGCTGTGCATTGCTCAGATCTACAGTAATCATGTCAGTGAGTTGTTTTAGGTTAAAAATAGGTTTTCTCTTCCAGCTTTATCTTTTATTGCTTCTTATGAATTCAGTAACACCAGAAAGTACTTTGTTTTTCCAAACCTAATATCTTATTTAATGAATTTATGAATCAGTAGCACAATTATGCAGTTGGATTTATTGGGCTGGAATGGACAAATCTTAAATGCCTGAAAACATTATAGCAACATGATGCCTTGATACATATGATGCACATACATTTTGTATCTATGTATTTCTTTCTTCCACATTAGCATATATATGGAATAATCTGCAGTTAAGAACAATTTGCATTTACTGGTTTTTGTCCCTGATTTGTCCAGTTCTGTCCAAGTCCTGCTGTCAGTCTTTTTGATGCTGATCACTGCTTTTTGTCTTGGCTCCTCTGCTTTCACTCCTCATGTTCCTCCACTTCTCTTCTATCTCTCCTCTTACTGGATGGGGCATCGCTGGGGTCTTCCAATCACATTAGGAGTTTGATGAGGTAACCTTGATGTTTTAGCATCCCTTTGCTAAGCTCCGACCCCCTTGGTTACTGTTGCTACCTCAGATGTGCTTTACAGAATGTCTCATTGGAATGAATTAATGTTAATTTACCACCGATAAAAACATAGTCCTGCACGTTCATTTAGGAATGAGTGCAACACAGTTTTAGCCACAGCATGAGCTTTTTAAACATTTGACAATCGTATCCTTTCCTCTTGTTTTAAATGACTCAACAAGCTTTTATTGTGTTTTCCTATTAAATTGCTTTTAAAACCATCCAAACACACACACCTTTCATAGACTTTCATTAAAAAAGAGCAAGAGCTTGTCTGATAATATGATGGAACAATAGTAGGATAAAGTAGGATTGGTCTGTGCCATTTTTAAGGTGGGGCTTAGTAAAGAGTCAGTCTGTTTGTGCAAAATTTGAACACTATACACTATTTGCGCCTCAGTTTTGATTAAATATTTTGAACAATAATTCTTTCAGCTACCAATAATAATCTCATACAGCTACATTTTATGATTTACTGTATTTAAATTTCGCCTGTGATGTTTACTGTTATTTCTCTCTCTCTGTCTGTTAGTTGGCCGATGACCGTATGGCTCTGGTGTCAGGCATCAGTTTGGATCCAGAGGCCGCTATTGGTGTCACGAAGAGACTCCCACCTAAATGGGTGGAGGGAGTGGATGAGGTAATTAGATGATTGTTTTAAGTGATCAGTGGCATTAAAGGAATGTTCCAAGTTCAACTTTACTGATGGCATCTGTGGCATGCTATAAATTACCAGAGAAATAATATAGACTCACTCCTTAGTTTATTCAGACAAAAAACATGCACAGTAATGCATTTACAATATAAAAAAATGTAATTCAAAAGTGACATTTAATGAACTGGACAAGACATTTATAATATTACAAAAGTAAAAAAAAAAAAGTATAGTAAAAATGTTTCTTGAGCAGCAAATCAGCATATTAGTGTAATTTCTAATGGATCATGTGACACTGAAGACTGGAGTAATGATGCTGAAAATTCAGCTTTGCATCACAGAAGTAAATTACATTTTTAATATATTAAAGCAGAAAACAGTTATTTTAAATTGTAATAATATTTCACAATATTACTGTTTTTTTTTTAGCAAATAAATGCAGCCTTGTTGAGCATAAGAGACTTTTTACCAACGTTTAAATGTTAGTGAGTGTATATGAATTCTTGCATACATAAAAAGTGGTCCTTTTTTACTTGTAGGATTAATGTTGTAAACACAATTTTTTGTTTGTATTTAAAAATGAGGGATCAGTTTAAATAATTTCTGTGTTCATCAACAGTATTTATTTTGAACATAGATATAGATATTTGACATTCACATACATAGACTTAGCTCAAATAAGGCTTCTGTCCATAGTCAACAGAGTGAATAGTGAATTCCTTGTTCCCGCAGATTCAGTATGAAATCACACGTATTCGTCAGAAGATGAAGGAACTGGCCAGTCTGCACGACAAACACATGAACCGGCCCACGCTGGATGACAGCAGTGAAGAGGAGCACGCCATCGAGATCACTACACAGGAAATTACACAGGTATAACACACACACACACATTATAGTGCCATCTGTTATAACTAAAGGGGACACAGAAAAACTACGGCAGTTAATCACTGCACACATCATAAAACTGAATTTACATCTGTAGTGTGTCTGCATATGTGTGTGTAGATGTTTCACAGGTGCCAGCGGGCTGTGACGGGGCTCCAGACTCAGAGTCGTCATTGTACAGAGCAAGAAAACCGGCTGTTGACTAATGTGGTCTCCTCACTGGCCCAGAGCCTTCAAGAACTGTCAATCAACTTCAGACACACACAGTCAAGCTACCTGAAACGTAAGTGTATGCAAACACAAGATATATGTTATTCAATCAACATTAGCTTTTGCCTCATGCTGTTTATTTATGACAAATCTTTATGATGCATCTTACTTTCATTTACAGGGATGAAAAACCGTGAAGAAAGGTCCAAGCACTTTTTTGACTCTGGTCCTCTTGTGGAGGAAGATGAAGATATTGCGCTATATGACAGAGTGAGAATATTTTACTAATACTCATATTCACATGTGTTTTTAGTATATATGCGACATACATGTTTCTATTTTGGTGACTAGATTGGTATCAACCAATCGTTATCGCTTTAAATTATTGCCATTATTTTTGGAAGCAGATTATAGTTTAAACATTATATATAACAACATATATTGTAATGTTTTGATGCTTAATGTCCCTTGAAGCATGTAAATTCTAAAATCCAAACCTTTAGAGTGAACACTGTATAGATTTATATTAAATATGGGCCATAATATAAAATAATTTTTTTTTTTTTTTAAACAAACATTTAGATATTGGTGTGTAGTGGTTGACCGATATATTTCCTAATATCAGCCAATATTTGGCATTTTTATGTTGGTGGCATTGGCCAATGTGTTTTTGCTTGGCTAATAAGAAGCTTTTATGTTGACAGCGAATAAATTATGCTGTTATATCCAGTTTGCCACTGTCATATTTAAGTCATATGTCACTGTGTGCTGAATGTAAAATTAGCATTACCTGATCTTTATTTAAGAAAATATGATTCCCAGTGCTAACAAACTTGCGGTGTCCACTGTTGGTTAGAGTGTTTACTTACTTTTTATTATTGTTTTTAACTTTTTTTTTTATTTGTGAAAAATACTATAATAGGATTACAGAATCAATATGTTGCTAAAACGTGAATGTTAATTTTACAGATTTATTTATTTATTTATTTTTATTAAGTTTAAATTTTAATCTTTTCAACTTAAGAAAATATGTCAAATTAATCTACATTTCATTGCAGCAATTGTTATGTAATAGCATTCTGTTTTCAGTACATGGTTGACGTCTGACTTTGGAAGTGTCTTTCTCACTCTTTCAGGGATTTACAGATGACCAACTAGTGCTGGTTCAGCAAAACACAGTGGTGGTAGACGAGCGAGAGAGAGAAATTCGACAAATTGTTCAGTCCATCTCTGACCTTAATGAGATATTTAGAGATCTTGCTGGAATGGTTGTTGAACAGGTCAGTGTGCGTCTTGGTGCAAAAAAATTAAAACGAAACAATTTAATTATATTAAATTAAACAGATCAGGGGCCTCGTTTATAACCGTTGCGTATGCACAAAACCTGCCCTGAAAGAGGCGTACGCCACTTCCTAAGCAAAAGGTGGGATTTATAAAAAACAAACTTGACGGGAAAATTTTCACACCTGCACGCAAACTCTGACTCATGCGTACAGACTTTTTTTTTCCTGGAGATAGAAAGGTAATGAAGTAAACAGGTTTTATACAGTTTTAATTTCATCATATACATTTACATTAAATATTCCACTCTCGTTAATGGAGATAAGCACTGAAATTACATAAAGTCATTACGCAGAAGTTAAACCAAAATTATATGTATTTAGACATAGTCTTTTTGTAGTGGATGCGCTTGATTACTTTTCCTGTAATATGTTATGTTTTAATGACAGTGAGGAGTGCCGTAGGTGCACAATAATTTATCTTTAAACTAAACTGCACATCTCATGTTATGAGGAAATATTTTTAGCGAGAACAATGATCAATGATGCGCACTTACTTCGATATTGTGGCGGACACGGCTGGATTTGGTGGAACGGTCTATTGTCCGGTTTGAATAGGACCAATGATAATAGCTTACTGTACAACCACAGCTGCAGTTGATGTCATGTGAAGGCATCTCCACAACATTATGAAAAATACCACTGTATTTGAAGGATACAACTTGAAGAAAACGGTAAGATTTGCACGTTAATGTGTATGGCACAAATGGCATTTATTGTCCGTATCTCATATTTCTTTAATGTCTTGTAGACTACCTTTGACGGTGTTAAACATGGTGTCACGTGGATGGGAATATGCATGGAAAAGATATGCAGATGAGGTTATGCATAGTAAAACTAGACGTTGTAAGCTCCATATATGGTGATTTCGGGGAGGAGTCGGGGTGGAGATGCACGTGTGCACAATCTTCCCCTGACTGGGATTTATAAAGGGATTTTTGCGCAGGTTCTGGCGTGCACATGGTTTTATAAATCTGAAAACCTTTGAGCGTATGCAAAATCTAGCTTTTGTGCCTACGTACACTTTTAGGATGAAATCTAGAGAGTTTTATAAATGAGACCCCAGGTCCTGTCCTAATACTTGTACTATTTTAGATTCTTTAAATGCATTTGTTATTTATTTTATATATATATATGTGTGTGTGTGTGTGTATATATACTTCAATTTAAAATCTGATTTAATATCAATTATATAAGTATTAATAAATAAAAATAAGAATTATAAATAAATTAGGTTCAAACACAAAATGAATATTATGCTTCCTTGACTGAGGCAGTTGCATAAATATGCTAAATATATATTTTTTAAATATGCATTGTTAATGTCAATATAAATTTTATTCAGGGCACAGTCCTCGACAGAATCGACTTCAATGTGGAGCAAGCTTGTGTCAAAACAGAGGAGGGTCTGCAGCAGTTGCAGAAGGTGAGGCTCTTATCAAGCCTGATGATGTGTTAAGCATCATGTCAAGGGATGTAATTGCTTACCCTTACTTTTTCAGTCATTTGTTGTGTATTATAAATGTACATACAGTATCCACATGACATTTAAAAATAATATTACATAGCAGAGATGGAAAGCACACTCAACTTTTCTCTTTACTTTCTTAGGCTGAACAGTACCAGAAGAAAAACCGCAAGATGCTGGTCATTTTAATTCTCTTTGTCATAGTTGTTGTTCTAATCCTTATTCTGTTCGGGACAAAGTTTAGATGAATAATTCCATGGCCTCTAGGAGGGATCTACCTGTATGTATGAGAGAAACTGATGTGTGTGTGAAGAAGGTTTAGAAGGTGCTTCCGTTTTAAAATACTACACCACAAAGTGAAGATAAGGACGCCCCCTGCTGACCAACAAGTGCAGTGTGCGGAGACATTTGTGTGTTTATTTCTGTTGTGAGAGCGTAAGTACTCGGGTTCCTTTCAGAGGGCCATTTTTCTTCATTTTTTCACACAAGCACAGTAATTAGGAGTTTGGATGTGATATGGCAGCATGTTCAATCCCAACTGCCCTTGTCGTCTAATTTAAAGAGTAAACAGGAAGATGATGGGAAAGATTAGGAATCCTCGGAAGATGATCATATATGCTTGGGTGAATTTCTTCAAAATAATGTCCAGGTCATATTTTTTTGCTAGTTTCCCTCTCAACTCTCATTACTGTAATGCAGAATTAAATGATTTAAATCAAAAGTACAGTTGCAGTATTACAGTATTTGTTTACTGTATAATAGTGGTACAAATCTAATGGGAATCACCATTGAGAATAATGGAAAGTAAATTAGAATACGTTAAAGTAAATGAGACTTTAGGGGGGATTGGGCATGGTCATGAAAATAATTTCATGATGCATATTCTTTATATATATATGTATTCATTTGAATATGGGGTTAAATGTCACCTGAACGTGTTTCCTAAAGATTCACCCACTTTCTTGGTTTCAGTAGTGAGCATCTACAGTGAAACCTGTCATAAACTGCCTTCGAATCAGACCTTGCTTGTAAGGTTAGGATGTGTGTATTTGATGCAAGCCCAAGATGACATTATAAACTCTGTTTTCCTGTAATTTAATCTGACATTTTGCTGTGTATATGTGTGTGTTTGAGAGGAGACGCATTGACACTCCAGTCAACCACGACAGAAACTGAGGAATGAGGAACATATACTCAAAGCATTTACCATGTTCAGTTTTTATTGTTTAGTTTTTTTATGTGGTAAAATGAAAATCATTGGGATTATGACAGGGGTTGAATGAACTGAATGTTACATTGTCCTTTACGAACGTCCATTACTGAGAGTTAATTCCTCTGTTCACGTCAGTGGAGGCGTTTAATGCACCATCATGTGTTTATCTACGTTTTAATGACAGTGTTGTTATGAAATCAGTATCATTTCAGTGAAAAGCGGGAGTGATTCATCAAGATTTTTTGATTCACTCCGTTCCTTGCCTTAAAGAGTGAACATTTGTGTGCTGAACTTGGAATGTTTTTAAAGCTTTCCTTGTCCATGTTTCATTGGCTGGTGTTGTCACTGTTGTATCCTTCAGTCTGACCTTTGAACTTAAACTGAACTTTGACCTTCAGTCTCAGACTGAAGCTCAGTGGGGTCGGCTGACTGACTATAACTACTGTTCCCTGGACAAGATGAAATAATTTATTTTAGATGCAAACACGTGTATAGAGTTTATGGAGTTCTATTGTTGTCCGTTGGTAGTCCAAAGTCCTTTAATTTCTTTGTTTATTATTGTAATGATGATTTACTTTCTAAAATCAATTCCTGTTGGCTTTTGTGAAGGGTAATTGCACCACTACTGTATGATGGGGTAAAATCACGTTGTTGACCATATTATTTTATAAATACAGAGACAGTTTATTCTTGTTATTTTAGAAGGTTTGAAAAAATATAACTGCCCATTCAAGGCTTAAATCCATTTCAAGTGATTTATTCCATGGTTTTGTGATTTTTCACATGGTTTTTATATGTGAATATAATATTTTTCTGCCATTACGGTACTACTGTATGCTATATGAACCTTCTGTAAACGCTGAACAGGTTTCTAATGAAATTAAAACAAACAAACAAAAAAATATATATATATATATAACAATGCAGGTTGTGTGGTATTTTATAAATGCATTAATACATGGATATTTAAGTTATTAACAAATAGTACTATGGCAGGCCTTTTCACACAACTGAAATGTTAACTCAATAAATCTGATCAAAACTGCTGTTGTACACAATCAACATGCCTTCTGTCATCTGATTGATAATTTCTTCAGCAAAGTAAAATGTATCATGAAAATATCATCTTACTAAGACATTTTTGGGAGATATAGTGGCAACTAATATTTATATCCATTTAATGTAAGTCTGCTAAGCTGTTATAAAACTCATTGATTTACATTACAAGCTATTGTAATCTCATCTCTCTTTTTTGGACATAAATAACAACTGCACCCAATTGCATTTTTATTCATTTTTTTGCTTAGTTTGGGCCTCTCACATCATACTATATGAGCCATAAACCTGATATATCAAATATAATACACCCTCTTGGGCATGGAGTTCACCAGAGCTTCACAGGTTACCACTGGTGTCCTCTTCCACTCCTCTATGATGACATCACGGAGCTGGTGGATGTTAGAGACCTTGAGATGCTCAATAAGGTTTAGGTCTGGAGACATGCTTGGCCAATCCATCACCTTTACCCTCAGCTTCTTTAGCAAGGCAGTGGTCGTCTTGGAGGTGTGTTTGGGGTCGTTATCATGTTGGAATACTGCCCTGCGGCCCAGTCTCCGAAGGGAGGGGATCATGCTCTGCTTCAGTATGTCACAGTACATGTTGGCATTCATGGTTCCCTCAATGAACTGTAGCTCCCCAGTGCCGGCAGCACTCATGCAGCCCCAGACCATGACACTCCCACCAGCATGCTTGACTGTAGGCAAGACACACTTGTCTTTGTACTCCTCACCTGGTTGACGCCACACACGCTTGACACCATCTGAACCAAATAAGTTTATCTAAGGACATGTTTCCAGTATTCCATGTCCTTAGTCTGCTTGTCTTCAGCAAACGAGACAAAATGGCTAATTGGGCCCAATTTGGACATTTTCACTTAGGGATATACTCACTTTTGTGGCCAGCGGTTTACACATTAATGGCTGTGTGTTGAGTTATTTTGAGGGGACAGCAAATTTACACTGTTATACAAGCTGTACACTCACTACTTTACATTGTAGCAAAGTGCCATTTCTTCAGTGTTGTCACATGAAAAGATATAATAAAATATTTACAAAAATGTGAGGGGTGTACTCACTTCTGTGAGATACTGTATATATATAGTTTTTTTTGTCTGTTTAAAAGTTCAATAAAATTTTGATTTTTCGGACTTTGGTTTCATAGGGTTAAATCGCATGTAGTCATAGTTACAAATGTGTTCATGTCTCTTGCTATGTGATAAAACATGATGTGGTGCTCAGATACATGAATTATTACCATATTCATGCACCATTGGCACTCCAAGATTCTTCAAGTAATGTTATTACAGTAATACGCTTTGGCGTTTTATAAGCCCTCTCTTGGTCGAAAACCTGAAATAAATATCTAGATTTAAATAAATAATTAAATAGCGCGGTCAGCACGAGGGCCTCGCGAGACGACCAGGGGAAGCGGAAGGTCAAAGTGCATCTTCCCTCTGAAGAGACTCTCATTCGGGCGGAAGATGGCGAACGTACTGCTCGAGTTCAAGGCTTCTGCCGGGGACTCAGAGCCGCAGACCCGCCCGGTCCTCTTCGTCGGCCAGCTCGCCAACCTGCAACAGCTCAACTGGACCCAGGTGAAAGGGAAACTGCAGCCGGTGGTCACCAAAGAGGTACGTAATGTTACATAAAAAGTAACTGAGCTTGTAAACACGTTGACGTTAGCTTACCGGCTAAAGTTAAGAGAGAAATCGGCCTCTTCAGACTATGTAACAGACCGCATATCTGCGTTTACTGATGGAAACGTCAGGGTAACAAAATCAGTTTAACGACACATTGTTCTTCTAGACTGGCTGTTACATATTTCAATAAAATGACACACTTCACAGTCAGCATTTCACTAATACAAAGTGCCATGGTATTCTTGGAAGAACAATAGCAATATCATTTTTTTTTTATCTTGAACGTGTGCAGTGGTGATATTTTGGAGAACTACATAAATCTGTTATCATTACTGTCCTACTGCCACAGACCTTTTTTATTTTTCTTAAGTCAGCCACATCATGTTGTTTAGTTTAGAGGAAACACTTGATCAAATCAGAGTCAAGCGAACATTTATTATCAGCGCAGGATTTCCTGATAGACTTGATGGTCTGGATTGTTTAGTTTTCCTGCTGTTATTGATCATGTATGATGATCTGCATGATGTTATTTTACTTAATACTGTAGATTCATTTTCAGGTGCACTAGCAAATAATATAGCGTGGTACTATCATTTTTCACTACATATTTTAATTTGTGTGCGGTATCTGTTTTTGCTTTCAGATATGGCAGGCGGCATTGGCCTCTCTGAATCCCAACCCTACGGATAGTTGCCCGCTGTATTTGAGTTTTGCAGCCGTGGCGGCCCTTCCTTCACGAGTCAGTCGTCACAACAGCCCATCATCTGCACACTTCCTCACCCGGCTCGTCCGAACCTGCCTGCCCGCCGGCAACAACCGCTGCATTGTGGTCAGTCTCGTTTCACACCATTACTGATGTGCACTGCTTGGTACTCTATTTTTGTTCAAATAGACCGAGACAGGCTGCTGAAAATTCAGCCTTGCCATTAAATGAATAAATTGCATTTTAAAAGATATTAAAATAGTTAAGTTATTTTAAATTGTAAGAATATTTCACAGTATTACGGTTTTACTAATATATAGAATATATATATAAATTCGTTTCATCACTCAGTTAAAAAAAAAAAAAGAGGTAAAAATGAAAGTCAATATTTAAATGCATAGTGTTTTGAAAGTGTAGCTATAACACTTTAAATGTTAGAAATTAGATAATAATGTGCAGTTATTTTCTCTTGCAGTATTGTGCCACAAATGATGTTGTTGACGCAGCTCGACTTGAAACATTTCTTCAAATTTAAGATTAGTTGACACGGTGGGTTTGTTTGGTTTTTCAGATGGTGTGCGAGCACTCTGATGTGTTTGCGTCAGCGTGTGCCATTGCCCGAGCTTTCCCGCTCTTCACCCGCCGTTCAGCATCTTCTCGCAGGACAGAGAAGAAGCACGTCACTGTGGAGTTTGTCACTGTGGGTCAGGACAGCGGTCCGCTGGAGGTCTCCACACTGAAGGTAAAGCGATAAAGTGTTCAGAGCTACTTCCCTGTGCCTCAGGTTAAGTTGGTTACTAGTTAATTTATGATTATGCATCATTTATATTACATCCATTTCAATGTGCAAGTGGTTGTTTCCAGTGTCTTGCCAGTGCAGCGGATGGAGTTCGTCTGGCTGCTCGAATCGTAGACGCTCCATGCAGCGAAATGAATACTGATGACTTCCTAAAGGCAAGCATTTCTACTCGCAGTTTTATTTTAATATTATTTATATATTATTATAGTATTTAATAATATTTTTTCATTTTAATTTGAGTAGTTTTCTATGTGCTTTTGCCACTTTTATTAATATTTTTTAAAATACATTTAAGCATAAATGTTTATTTCAGTTTTAGTAATTTTAGTGCTTAAACTGATTTTGTTTAATTTAGCAGGGTTTCTGCGGGTCTTAAAAAGGTCTTAGTCTTAATTCGTCCTTCTATAAATTAAGGCCTTAAAGTCTTGCATGAGAGCAGAAAAGTCTTAAATTCATAAGTTTATGGTATTAAATGTTGCATGCATTGCAAAAAATCAATATCTTCATCTGTAATTTTCAATACTATTATCTGAACATCCTTAAAGGGATAGTTCACCCAAAAATGAAAACTTGATGTTTATCTGCTTACCCCCAGGGCATCCAAGATGTAGGTGACTTTTTCTTCAGTAGAACACATTTGATGATTTTTAAGTCCAACCGTTGGAGTCTATCAGTCTTATAATGGATGGCAATGGTAACAAAATTTATGAGAGTAAAAAAAACATGCACCGACAAATCCAAATTAAACTCTGCGGCTCGTGATGACATTGATGTCCTAAGACACGAAACGATCTGTTTGTGCCAGAAACCGAACCGTATTTATATAATTTTTTATCTCTAATACACCACTATGTCCAACTGTCTTGAGAGAGGAGGGGCGCTGAAATAGCCAGGGCTGGCGGCGTGCGATGGGGTACACCTGAACCGAATGGAGCCTCATCACCGCCGCTGTTTAAATGCCGAGCGCGCCTCTCCTCGGGAGACCGGTCTCTTCCCCGTGCATGCACGCTGGTGTCCTCGTAGGTCCAGGAGGGGTGTGTAGAGGGACTCCCGTGCCGCCAGAGTCGTGAGCTGCCGGACCCGCAGTCCGGACGAGAACCGCACCCGATTACACGGCCGTTGGGCAAGGATGCTGGTCCGTCTAGTCCCTTCAAGCGCGTGGGCAGAGAGAAGGACGAAGCCGCCGATAGAAGCCGCCGCCCCTCGCACCCCGGACTGGAGAGGGGAGCGCGTGCGACCGCCAGACTCCGCCCCTTACCTGGACCCTTCCTTCCTTCCTGCTAGTCCCTTCAAGCGCGTGGGCAGAGAGAAGGACGAAGCCGCCGATAGAAGCCGCCGCCCCTCGCACCCCGGACTGGAGAGGGGAGCGCGTGCGGCCGCCAGACTCCGCCCCTTACCTGGACCCTTCCTTCCTTCCTGACCACTGCCCTTCCCTTCACGAACCCCACAGCACGACGAGGACACCAGTGGCTCGTCGTGCTTATTTTCTGTTAATAAATTGTCTGTCGTTTGCTCCTCCCGCGACAACACACCCATTAACGTAAACTACACCAGAGCGCGTACACACCTCATGCACCGGATGCCGTGCGCGCACACAAAGACAGTTGGACATAGTGGTGTATTAGAGGTTTCTGGCACAAACCGATCGTTTCGTGTCTTAGGACATCGTCATCACGAGCCGCAGGGTTTAATTTGGATTTGTCTGTGCATGTTTTTTTTACTCTCAGATTTTGTTACCATTGCCATGCATTATACGACTGATAAACTGCAACGGCTGGAGTTAAAAATCATCAAATGTGTTCTACTGAAGAAACAAAGTCACCTACATCTTGGATGCCCGGGGGGTAAGCAGATAAACATCAAATTTTCATTTTTGGGTGAACTATCCCTTTAAATCAAGATACATTTACTTGAGATGCAAATGTAAAGTTTAGTCTTGAAAAACTGAACGAATTTCATTTTGAATGGGGGAAATGGGGAATGAAAATGTATTTTCCTTTTTTAATTTTCACTTAAGTGTTTCATCTAGCGTTTATATTTTATTTTATTTTAGTTATTTCAATTAACAAAAATTATTTTTAATTGTTATTTTTATTTTATTTATGTATTTGTTACTTTATGTATGTGAGAAATGCATGCTGAAATTGCTTTTCCGCTCATCATACATACATTATGCAATCTTCTGCAGGAAATCAAGGCAGTGGGCAATGAATTAGGCATCACTCCAACTATAATTCGAGGAGAGGAACTGAAACAAAAGGGCTTTGGAGGTAATCTTGAGTTTCTTCTTTAAAAAGTCAGCCCATTGCAACATTTTCTGATCTATGATGAAAAAGATGAGCTTGCATTCTCATCACAAGATGAGTGGATGGATGTTATTTTAGAACTGCTGACTTAGTGCTGCTTCTTCCAGATGAAGTTTTTCTAGCACGTAAAGAAAAATCGTGCACGCCATTTTAAGCTTAAACGCATTTTGTTTAGCAAAAATGACGCAAGCAACCGTTACTCTGTGCATATGTTTACATGTGCAAAATCATTCTCTCTTTAGGCATCTATGGAGTTGGTAAAGCTGCTCAGCATCCTCCTGCATTGGCTGTGCTCAGCCACACTCCCTCAGGAGCCACACAGGCCATTGCCTGGGTGGGCAAAGGCATTGTCTACGACACCGGTGGTCTCAGCATCAAGGGCAAAGTAAATACTGCACCTCACTGTCTGCCGAGTGCACTAAACGGGCAGAGCACTCAATAATACTATGTTTTTTTTTAAAGGTGAAGTTTGTAATTTTTTTTTACAGTATTAATATGAAACCCATTCCAGCTTAATATGCAGAGTGTGCTGTAAGAAACACATTTTTAGGTTGATTTTCCACAAAAAAATGCCATCAGAGTGGACTGTTTGTGAGACCAAATGCAGATATTTTGCAATGCTTTTTGGTGCCGCTAGAGGCACACAAGTGACACCTCTGTTAAACATCAGACTCTATCTGCATTTAAGATTATATATTGTTTGTACAATTTATTTTTCTCTCCTTTATAGACCACAATGCCGGGAATGAAGAGAGACTGTGGAGGAGCCGCAGCCATTTTAGGAGCTTTTAAAGCTACTGTTAAACAGGTACTGATTATTTTGGCAACTAAAGATTACTGGCTGCTAAACTTATCTACATTAAAGGTCCTAACCCCTGTCTCAAGTGGGCAGCCAAAACGGCTTGCACTTTACACCTGGTATTAATGTGTGTCTCCAATCCATCCACAGTGACCGTGTAATATTTTGTTGATGGGAGGGTGTCTTATTTCAGGACTGCATGCATTTTCAGGGTGTGTGAAGTCATGTGCTTGTATACACTAGCATTCAAAAGTTTGGGGTGGGTAAGATTTTTTCAATCTCTATTCAGAAGTCTCTTATGCTCACCACCATTAAAAAGGCTTTTAAAACTCTAATATTGTAAAGTATTATTACAATTTAAAATACCTTTTATATTTTAATATCTTTTAATTGTTTAATGTTACTTATTCCTGTGATAAAAAAGCTGAATTTTCAGCAACATTACTCCAGTCTCAGTGTCACACGATCTTTCAGAAATCGTTCTAATACTGATTTGCTGCTCAAGAAACATTATCAATGTTGAAAACAGTTGTGCTGCTTCACTTTTTTTTTTTTTTTTCCCGGGAAAAGATCATTTTAATTGTTTAATGTTACTTATTCCTGTGATAAAAAAGCTGAATTTTCAGCAACATTACTCCAGTCTCAGTGTCACACGATCTTTCAGAAATCGTTCTAATACTGATTTGCTGCTCAAGAAACATTATCAATGTTGAAAACAGTTGTGCTGCTTCACTTTTTTTTTTTTTTTTCCCGGGAAAAGATCAACATTTATATTTAGTCATTTAGCAGACGCTTTTATCCAAAGCGACTTACAAATGAGGACAATAAAAGCAGTCAAATCTAACAAAAGAGCAACAATATATAAGTGCAAATGACAAGTCTCGGTTAGCCTAACCCAGTGCACGTAGCAAGGTGCGTGTGTGTGTAAATACTGCACCTCACTGTCTGCCGAGTGCACTAAACGGGCAGAGCACTCAATAATACTATGTTTTTTTTTAAAGGTGAAGTTTGTAATTTTTTTTTACAGTATTAATATGAAACCCATTCCAGCTTAATATGCAGAGTGTGCTGTAAGAAACACATTTTTAGGTTGATTTTCCACAAAAAAATGCCATCAGAGTGGACTGTTTGTGAGACCAAATGCAGATATTTTGCAATGCTTTTTGGTGCCGCTAGAGGCACACAAGTGACACCTCTGTTAAACATCAGACTCTATCTGCATTTAAGATTATATATTGTTTGTACAATTTATTTTTCTCTCCTTTATAGACCACAATGCCGGGAATGAAGAGAGACTGTGGAGGAGCCGCAGCCATTTTAGGAGCTTTTAAAGCTACTGTTAAACAGGTACTGATTATTTTGGCAACTAAAGATTACTGGCTGCTAAACTTATCTACATTAAAGGTCCTAACCCCTGTCTCAAGTGGGCAGCCAAAACGGCTTGCACTTTACACCTGGTATTAATGTGTGTCTCCAATCCATCCACAGTGACCGTGTAATATTTTGTTGATGGGAGGGTGTCTTATTTCAGGACTGCATGCATTTTCAGGGTGTGTGAAGTCATGTGCTTGTATACACTAGCATTCAAAAGTTTGGGGTGGGTAAGATTTTTTCAATCTCTATTCAGAAGTCTCTTATGCTCACCACCATTAAAAAGGCTTTTAAAACTCTAATATTGTAAAGTATTATTACAATTTAAAATACCTTTTATATTTTAATATCTTTTAATTGTTTAATGTTACTTATTCCTGTGATAAAAAAGCTGAATTTTCAGCAACATTACTCCAGTCTCAGTGTCACACGATCTTTCAGAAATCGTTCTAATACTGATTTGCTGCTCAAGAAACATTATCAATGTTGAAAACAGTTGTGCTGCTTCACTTTTTTTTTTTTTTTCCGCGGAAAAAGTAAAATATTTATTTTTTCTTTTTTAA